TTCATTAATAATCCATGAAAATCACATTTAATAACTTAGGTAATCTTACGAAATTAACCCACCAATTATAAGCAATATAGTCAGCCATCCTCACCTTATGATGTGCTGAAATAGTTGCCTTTGTTAAGCTCCCCGATTAATCCTCGTTTTAAACCGATAAGAAGGCAAAACTAGACTGCCTGGACAAAATCCGGGCGGCTTTCACGAAAGCCGGGCAACGTTCGTCCTCCTGCAACACGAACAGCTTCCTATATGTGGCGGTTTCCGGCGATTTCGACTCCTATCGATTCACCAACTCTTCTAAGTTAATTACCACCATTATATATCAACATTCTACACTTTTTAAACGTGTAGAACTTCGTGTTTAATCCACTATATGATTTCTTAAAAATCATACATGATAAAACTAGTTAAAAGAGTTTTTTGTAGAGTTCTTACCTTGAACTCAACTCCTTTTTGTTAGATCTTTTCCTCTTGCTTCCCTGAGCTTGAACTTTGATAGAGGCCTTCCCAGAGCTCCTCTCCTACCTTATTTGAGTGGTGAGGATGATGCAAATGATGGGGGGACATTTCATCTCAATCCCTCCCACTTATTCAATGAAATGGGGTCATGGGGGTGTGACTTTTGTCTCAATGAAGCTCCTTATGTCATGTCCGCCCCTCCCCTCATGTCTAGCCCCCTTCCCATTATTTAGAGTGTACAACTCATATAAGAAAAGTCCCGAGTGTGTACAATCGGCCCCGAAAGTTGTATTTCTCGGTCCGTTTTAATCATATTTTATTTTATCGGACCAAATAAAATATATCGCTCGTTCCCAATAACTATGGGCCTTTAGAATAGATGTACATTCCCCAACATTAATTTAGGAGTCTCCGAAACTCACTTCGGGCTGTTATCCGCTAAATTACCAATACCGGTAATTGGGCCCCGTTTGACTGACCGGTCAACTCCATGACTTTCTTATGGCCCAAATAGGATATCCACCACCATATAGATGTCATCTAGACCAAGATGAATATAATATGTGGTTCAGGAATTATCGGGCGGTCCTCGTTCCCGTTGTGGGCCCCACATGCACTTTACTATTCACGTAAAAGAAATAATAAAATTTTAACAATTACGTAAATTCATGAATCATCTTTCAAGGTAACTACATCATTTACTAAAAGTAAACATGCTTGGGGACGGTGTCACACGGATATTTCACTGGAGTATCGTATCGGCGTATCAGAAACGTTCTTGTATCTGATACTCTGTGATACTCGTACCGTACGTTATCAGACCGTATTATTTGCAATTTTTAAAAACTTCCATTTTTTGGAAATTACTTCCTCCGGTCCCAAAAAAAATTCTGTGTTTGACTTCACACAATTTAAGGAAATAAATTTGACTTTACTGTAGAGTACACTGTTGTGACACTGTTTGGCACTGTTTGGCACTGTTTGGCACTGTTTTGAATTGTTTTAATCTAGATAATTTGCCAAATAAGGAAGGGAGAAGAAGTGTGAAGTTTAATTTGGACCTACCCAAAAAAGGAAAGTGTGAATTTGTTTTGGGACCGGAGGGAGTACTTTAAATTTCGGATACTCATATCCTGACGAATACATGTATCAACTTTGTAAAAAACACTCAAAATTTACATAATAAAATTCTTAAAAATGAAAAACTAAAAAATAAATTTTATGTGGTACATATTTAATTGGCCTATCCCTAATTCATTCATCTATAACTTACCCATCCGGCCTATCCCTAATTCACTTACGTAATGCAGCGAGCAAGCGAGAGACAGAATGAGCAAGTAACACAGCGAGCGAGCATCGCACCGAGCAAGTCATTTTTGAACCAATAATCCAGTCAAGTATTTTCTTCAAATTATCTTTTATTTCCTATCTTCATTACCCAAGAACTTTGAGTACTTGCACTTTTAATTTCAAAATTGTGATTTCTTTGACTTGTTTCTCATTTTAAATTATTGTCATATTGACTATATTTATATTTCAAAATGTACTAGTGTATATGAGATAAAATATGAATTTATTTCTAAGTATCTTGATAATGTAAAACGCTTCAATGTCATGAATTGAGTAAACGTCAGAGGATAATATATGTATATATTTTCAAAATAAAAATATAGTTTTTAATATTTATAAGTACACCCCCATAAGTTTTAATATTTATAAATACACCATATAAGTTTTAATTTTTATAATATACTAATGTATCTGTATCCTTTTTTTTTTGGTTTTTTCGTATTCATGTACCCGTTTCTGCGTTTCCCATACCCATATCGGCAGGGGTGGAGGTAAAGCAACACTCAAGGGGGGCTTGTTCCCCCCCACCCCACCCCCATTTTTTTATTTTTTGTTAGTAGTAGAAGTTTTTTTTATTTTTGGCCCCCCAACCCCCTTTTCGTATGCCCTGTAAAACGATATAGGCTGTTCACCGTTGGGCCTTAAACACTAAAGCCTCAATACTAATGTGGAGGCAGATTATTTAATTTTAAAACCCGAAGTCCAAGAAAACGGGTTTGTGACTGGGGATGTTGCCGACCCAAGTCCTGGAGGAATAAATAGCACGTAGTGGAAATTGAAAGTAGTTATACGTGGTTATTTAAAATTGAAATATTTATACTACTAAGCTTATTTTAACATTGTTTTTTTGAATATTTTTAAACATTGTTAATAACTGAAATTTGTTCTATTACTCAAACAATTAATTCAAAAATTAGTTAATGCTTAACTAAAGAAACAATATTTATGATTTAATGGGTTAATTTGGTTAATTTATAAAAGAATTAAGAAAGTGCTAGTATATGTTTCCTAAGTTAGGAGATGAAATTAAAAGCTTAAGCTAACTTTACAAAACATGTCCATTTGACCAAACTCCTGTCCAAGTGATTCTTTTACCATGAAAGGGTGGTTCACAGAGAACATTCATCGAAAAATCGGCACAATCTTTAATCAGTTGAATGAATGCTGCCCAAACATAGAGAGTGGCATTTCCTTTGTACTACTTTAATGATGAAATTGCCTTCTAACAACCGTGGAGCCTGATTTTGTTGAGAGACAACTCCGACCAAAGTTTCTGTTTCTCCCCCTCTTGAGTGTAAAGCATAAACTGGGGTAATAAGAAAACTGAACTCTCAAGGTATATCAATTACATTCATAGAAAGAAACTGTTTTTCATTAATTATATTTTTAACCTTGAAAACTATTCATCCCACATCATCCAAATCTTGCCAACCTGAGACATGAGCAGATTTGAGTACCTCCAGTTAGGCCTATCAATGGGTCGGGTCTAGACCCGTACCCGACCCGGACCCGATTGTTTTTAATGGGTACGGGTCTATATTTTATTCCGTTTATCCGGATCCGGATCCGGACCCGTTAGTATTTCAAATAAACGGGTCGGGTATGATACATATGATTCCGACCCGTTAAGGACCCGGACCCGTTTAAAATTTCTTATTTGTATACACATACACTAATAGATAAAGTGATTAGTTATTACACTTTAAATAAAATAGAAACTAATATACATATATATAATAATGCATAAAGTTATTAGTTGTGAATTGTGATTATTCAATAAAAATATACACATTAATACATAAATACTATATAAGTGATACTGATCAAGATAGTAAGATACTCTAAAACTAATGCCCATTTTGGCCGTAAATACATGCCGATAAAGTGTGTATTGGGCTTGGTAGGAAAAGCACAATATTTATTACTATTATTATTAATATTATTATGTCATTATCATATCTAATACTAATGATTTTATACTCTTAGTAGTCCAAGAGACCCTTTTATGACTTAATTTCTAGTTTATTCTACGAGTTTTTTGTGCGAGAGAAAGCGACACAAAGTGTGGAGGTATATGCTTGTACAAGAACCGATACTTTATTATATAAAAGTACTAATTTTCTATGAGAGACCTTGATTTTTTTTTTAAAAGTGAAGATATATTTTGCCTTTAAATTTGTACACTTTGTTTTATATTTCACATATATGTCTTGTTATTTTCACAAATTTTATAATGATGTGTGTATCATACTTAGCGGACGGGTCTACCCGACCTGATTACGAGACTCGTTGGGTCTGGGTCCGGGTCCAAATTTTCAGACCCTCCGGGTAAACGGGGCGGGTCCTGGTCATTTATTAACTTAGCGGGTCCGGATCTGGAACACTACGTTCCAACCTGGACCCGACCCATTGACAAGCCTACCTCCGGGGGTGCAAAAATGAAAGGCCTCTGGATAAGTGAACCAAAGGCTCGATTGTTATAAGCAAATGAATAGCATGGAAATGAATAATTTGACTCAGCCTCTTCAAAGAGTGTGCATGTGGATAGGACATCGGGAGTGTATGAAACAGTGAGTAGTACTTGAACTCCGGAGTCCATTACTACCCTGGGCTCACAGTGAGTATGCATCGGGACCGGGCTGACCTGAATCCACACCTACCCTTGGCTCACTTATATTGTTTATAGTAACACTATACTTACTGAAGTATAAATTTTGAACCCATCTATGGAAGGGCTTATATGAGATGCTTTTGCAATTGTAAGACATCGAAATAAATTCAGTTTTACCAAACGCGTTATTGTGCATTCTAAAGAAAGTGGATGTGTAAGTTGAAGTGGAAAGTTAGACATTGACTTCACGATGCTAAATTACTCTTAATGGGGTCGTGTGTTCAAGGAGACAAGGAGTTGGCTATAAAAGGTGCACATATTTAGATGAGTTGATTGTGCAATTGGTGATAAATTGTTTTTTTTTGTGAAGAGTAGTACTCCATGATAAATTTGTTAATCCAGAAAAACACATTATTTTGCCAAATTTGGTATACGCCAAACAAATTGAGCCCCTTAAATCAAAAAAATCAAGATAAATAAAGGAGAACAGAGATAATATTAAAGAAGATTTAATGCTATTGTCAATATATTCTGCAAAACAAATTTCAAAATATCACTACTGTCATGGTTCGCACTTCGCACTTAGTAGAGAAACTCAAATTAACTTGGGTCATTATGAATGTAGGAGGCGCAACATGAATGTAGGAAGGATATTTAAGATAGGAAAGTTTCCCATACTTGCAAACTTAACATACAGATGTTCTTTTGAATACCATGGTATGAAAAACTACTAACTACCCCAAATATAGATTAAAAATCCCTAAACAGCAGCAAATAGCAGACTGAGCCATCATGAGACCAAAATATATTAATATAATGTCTAAAAAAAATCACTATCAATAGCAAAATGTGTGAACTTCATCACGATTAGTTAGGTCCATGTCTGAATATCCCAGGAAACTTGATTCTTGTATAGTCATATCACTTGTATCCAAGATGGGAGCCTCTATTATCTTGCTTATACTAAGTTTTCTGCATCATTTTAAAGACCTGTTTGAATTCATAGGATAGGAGATCATTTCTCCTCTAAACCAATTCGAGTTACAAACAATACTGATCAATATACACATAACAATAATCACAAACAGTTCGTACGAGGCACGGAAAAAAAATGGTAGAGGAAGATAATACATATGAAAATGTAGAAAACAGTCTAGATAGAAAAGAAACTGTAAAATAAAAACAGTTCAAACTAATTAAAGGGTTGTGATATACTCCGTATCTATGAAAACAAGTTTATATAATATCTTTATGCTACATCAAGGCTAAAAACAATGCATATGTACAAACTAAGACAACATATCTGATTTTCATGTGTGTTTTCCGATGTAATTTACCACCACAGATAGGATTGTTTTCAGTCACAAACAAGATGAGACCAGACTTCCATAGTTATAAAATACACAAAGACCAGACGTTTACGAGACCAAACCAATTCAGACCAGACCAGTTCAGATCACCAAATTTCAATTCAAAAGAAAACATTCATAGGCATTACAAATACTCTGTATCAAGTAAGAAGAATTAAAAAAACATTACATGTCTTACCCCTGTTTAAGCTTTAGCAGTGTGCTTATTCTCATTTCAAGTACTTTCATTAAAATGAAGTCCCACCAGGCTTTTTACACAAACTATTGCATCACAAATTTCAGGAAAACCAGAACCTGCCTCCCTTTTGATCAAAGTCCTTATTTTGGTATCATACACTAAGATTTTTTCACAGTTGTGAAGCACAACCTGATCACCATTCTTGAACAAAGGGATTGGCATCCTAAAAGGAGGAAACAGATAGATACGCGCCAGATTAAACAACATAAACCAAGACTCCTTGACCCCATATTCCTTCATCCTCCACACCTGAACGAATGGAAAATTATCAGGCGAAATTACAGCACATAATGAACCTTCTAGATTCATAAGTTTTTCACACCAACAATTTTCAGGCAGCTGAATCCGACGGAATGTTTCAGAGACAAGATCAAAAGCCAAAATCAAGAAGGCATCATTAGCACGGGATAACACCATGAAGTACAAAGTGTTGCCGACAAGGACCCCATTGGAATATAAGCAAGAGACATCTTTTGGGAAATCATCAATAATCTTCCACGATCTGTCATTTACACTATAAACCTTGAATTCCATAAGACTAGAACCTCTATGAGGCTCTTTAAAACCAGTTAACACCACCAACTTATAGTCATCAGTAACCGGGTCATGCCCAAATCCAGTAAGGATAATTTCGATTTGATCCAAGGGAATAGACTGGGCAAGATCAGAGATGGGTAAACTGATGTACCTTCGAATGGAAGGGTTCCAAATCGCCATATCTGAGCTGCGGTTCCTAATAGCAAGCAATCCATTGCAGCTTCCGTGAACGCTGATACCGGTTCCAATGTCTATTGGGTAAGTGAGGCGAGCGAACGAGTCGAGGTCGTTCAGGGCAGCCCAGCAGAGATCGGTGTTGCCTCCAAACACGAAGCCGAGTTGGGAAGTGGATTCCGGGGAGTGTTGGAGGTGGAGATTGATGAAATCGCGGCAGTTTATGAGGGAGCAGCACAACTTCGATAGGCACCGGCAGCGTAACAGATCTTTGACGGGTAATCGGCAAAGAATCTGCACGATTAGGTCCCATGGGAGGTAGGTGGTCGTCTCCATTCGTGGTTACAGAAAATGCCTCTTCGCTGATCTCTTCTCTATCTTCTATTTACTTCCTCTGCTATACAGGCGGTTAACAACAAAAGGGGTTTTCGCTTTTCACTTTTCAAGTTTCTTCAACCGTATTCCCGCCTACCTATGTGCATTGCAGCAGAAGCGTATTTAAAAAAAAAACTTGATGTACATACCTTGTACCTCTTATACAAATGTGTGTACAAGAGTGTATCCACAAAAGACTTTTTTGAAAAAAAAAAATCTTGGAAATGACTTCTCTTGAGACGAGCTTGGCTCTTCGATTCTCGCGAGCCTACTCTCTCAGAAACAGCACCATTGAAATGTGTTCCCACCAGTATTCTAGAATGTCCCATTAATTTTGTTATTTTGAATATTCTCTCTTTTAAGTACTCCCCCGTCCCTTAAAACTTTGTCATCTTTCCTTTTTGAAACGTCCTCAAAAACTTTGTCACTTTCCCTGTTAATCAATTATTTTGTGGTTTCTGTTATTTCTCTCCTCTGCACAAACCTTAACCACACAATTTTTACTTTATTATTTTCCGTGCCGGTCAACTTTGGCAAAGTTTTAAGGGACACAGGTAGTAAAAGTTTTGTTCCAGTTAATTTTCTCTCCTCAACATAAATCTTAATCACACAGTTTTTACTTTATTAATCCTCGTGTCAGTCAAACTTGGCAAAGTTTTAACTTTTAAGGAACGTAGAAAGTATTTTCAAATTATGAAAAAGTTTATTACTCCTTCCGTCCCAAAAAAAATTCTCGTTTTGACTTGGATCGGAGTAAGAAATATTTGGTTGCGGTTAAGTAAGAAAAATGTAAATGAATGGTAGCTACACAAACCTTTCCTAAAAGGGAGTTGAGAAGAATTTTCTGGGACATCACAAAAACGTAAGTGAGAAGAATTTTTTGGGACGGAGGTAGTGAAATAGACTTTTGTCATGTAAATTCACGCTAAAGAATTTTCTGGGACTGTTCCGTGACAAAATATAAATTCACGCTAAATTAACGTATTTTTTTTTAAAAAAAATGTTTTGTCACGGATGGGATCCGTGACAAATTCAAAATTTTGAATTTTTTGAAAATTTTAAAGCTCCCGCTCACTCTATTTTAAAATTTTCAATTTTTTTTCAAAATATTTTGTCACGGATATATCCGTGACAAAATTTAAAATTTGAATTTTCCGGACCGTTTCAAATACCCGCCCACTCTATTTTGAAAAACCTTTTTTAAATTTGTCACGGATATTTCCGTGACAAGTAATTATTTTTTTTTGAAAAATAAAAACATTTATTCACGGATGCGTCCGTGACAAATGAAAGGCGATGGGATTCCGGTGAAGTGTTTTGTCACGGACCGTGGCCGTGACAAATCCGTGACAAACAATCTCACGGATTAATTTCCGTGACAAAAACGTTATCACGCCCCTGGTGTCACGGATGGGATCCGTGACAAATCCGTGACAAAAAATCATTTGTCACGGATTTTTTGAACTACCGTCCGTGACAAAATCCGTGACAAACGGCGTGTTTTTTTGTAGTGCGTGTATATTTGGTCATACAAAATGTGGATGAAATTTTTTTAATTTACAAAATTTTACTTTGTATATTTATTGTTGATCATTACTATTATGAAATATTGACAAAGTAAATGTATTAAACTCAAAATAAATCTTAAGCACATGAATCAATTTGAGTTTTTTCTTAAATTCAGGACACATAACGATTCTTTGTTTATAAACTCTCCACTTACCATATTTTTTTATAGAAATTGTCTTAAATAGGAGTAAAAACGTTTTGAAATTCCAAAATAGAACTTTCATGTTTTTATTTTAGTCCCTAATGAATAGGAGTAATTCTGTCAAGTTTGGAAAAAAATGTCATGCTTAAAGCCTAGTAATGTCAAGTTTTGCAGAAATTTACTATTATTCAGGGAATAAAAAACATGATAGTCCTACTTTGGAATTTCAAAACTTTTTTACTCCTATTTAGGGAATTCTCTCTATTTTTTATTGAAATAATTACATGAATATGACTAAAATAAAGATGATTTACAAAAATATGACTAATGACTAGAGTAGTAATGAAATCATAGTAATTAATGTTCAAGTTTTGAGCTTAAGTTACCACATCACATTGTAGTAATGAATAGTCATATTTATGTAAATATGACTTATTTTAGTAATATTCTTGTAAAAAAACCCTTTTTTATTTAGTCAACCTCGTTCCTTTTTTACTCTCTTATTTTCCTATTAATTATTTGTCATGTTCCATTTAAAGGTTTGCATAATAACATAGTTTTGTGTAATAAACTAATAATAACGAAATAAAAAAATATATATCTAAATAAGAGAAGTGAAAGTATTATTAACCAAATGTTGTAATTATATTAAAAAAATAAAATGAATGTTATATTGAATACTTCCCAACCACACGTATTAGGAAATTGAAATTTGAACACTGCTAATTTCATTTATAGAGATTGTACAAAAACAATATCAGCTTATCAGTAATTTTGTTGGCATGAATTGACATGTGACAATACACAATAATAATAACATTAAATTGTAAATAACTTAAGTGTTAGGACTAATATTTTGAACTTCTTCAAACATACTTTTAATTTTTATAAAAAGGATACACACATAGCATAAGCTACGGTTTATCAACGATTTTATTTGTAATTATCTATTAGAAGATAAATCAATTATCTTTGTACATGATTTCCTAAAACACTCATTTAAATTTTTGAAGGCAAAAGCTAATGGGCGTTTTTTTTTTACTTTTGAAAACACTTCCTTACAAAATTATAATAATTTTTTACTTCAAAAGAAATTATTTACTCGTGTACATCTATAGTTTTTTTTTCTTGTACTCTATAATGGCAATCCCTTAGGATTTAGTTCTAAGCACTCAACCTTGGGAAGAAGGATAACTCTAATCAATAACTTTTAGTTCTTGAGCTTGGACCTTAATTAATGTTATGTATGTTAATTGAGTATAGATGTACATACACCATGATTTTTTTGAAGTAAAGTTGTTGAATTATAACTAACGTCAAGGTAAAAAACAATTAGTTATAATAGAAAGTGATGAAATTAATAACGTCGTCTACAAAATGTTATTATTAAAACTTTCAAACCACAACTTTTGTTAACTTAAAGTTTTTAGTTTATCCTTACATGTGTATATTGAACCTTCCTCTAGAGAATTTTGAAAATGATAAATTAAAGCCTTTAGCACGGAGACTCAAATTTTAAAATCATATACTTGTACGGACAATTGTTGTCTGGTCATATAAATTTAGTAAGAAAACCTGAATTTAGGCATCATTCTATATCGCAAACATATAGTTATACGTATTACATAATCAAAGAGTTTAAAGGCGTTGTTATTGTAAATTGTTAATGTATTACCATGTAATAGTATATATTGTGTAAGAAAATCTGAAGCAAACTAAATGAATCTATATTATAATAATACATGTATACAGAGGCAATCATTAAGAATAATATAAATATACCAAGTCATTTTAAGTTTTCAAATATATAAATGAAGACTCCTAATTATTAATCGTATATTATTATAATATTCTATATACTCCATTTGTATTTTAAAGATTGCCTTTTTCCATTGGCACGCCAAAAACCCGAATGTTTTTGGGGTGAGGCCGTGAGGGTCAAGAAACACCTCACCAGTTTATTAGAAAAAAGAAATTACAAAAAGTAAGAGGACTCAACCAAAGCCTAATCGGAAATCAAACTTCAGAACATAAAGATCGCTATAATAGGTTTTCACACAATATTTAAGGAGGACAATAGTAGGGACAGTGAATAGAGGAGAAAAGCAAGAGAGATGGTGTAAATGTATGAACGAAAAGATAAAAAATAAAAGGAATTTTATCAATTCAGGACCCGAAAGATAGATTAATTATCAATTCAGGACCTGAAAGATGAAACGTATCGGTATAGGACCCGAATGATGGAAAACTATCAATTTAGGACCTAACGTTTCATAGGTTTTGATTTATTTAATTTTTTATTAATTCCATTACTAGTTTTTGATAAACTTTTCTTCACAAAAGTTTATTAGTTTAATAAAACGAAATAATATTTAAAAAATTTTAATAAAAAATTATAACAACTCAAGTCCTAGATTAATAGTTTTCAATCATTCAGGTCCTAAATTGATAGTTTTTCATCATTCGGATCCTATATCGATGCATTTTATCTTTCAGGTCCCGAATAGATAATTAATCTATCTTTCGGGTCCTGAATTGATAAAATTCCAAAATAAAAACGTAAGAATAATTGAGTATTTTTAAATGAAAAATTATCAAAAAATAAAAGTGTATCAAATTTTTAAATACATCCCAACAATAAAAAATGTAAAAAAAAATTAAAAGACGGATGCAGTATGAAACAGAACCTATATATGAAACATGAAACTAAATGTATATGGAGGCAATCATTAAGGCAGTTATTGGAGTACCAGAAAAGGCAGCTATTGGGGTAACAGACTAACAATACACTTCGTAAGTTACTTAACTTTTCAAGACTAATAATTATTATAACAAGCTATATATGAATCGAAACGCAATTTATATCGTGGGATCGGCGCACCATGAGGAAGGTGTGCCCGATCCCAAAACGACGTAGCATCCTTTATTTTTTAATTTCTTTTATTGTTAAAAATTGTAATAACTTTTTTATTTGATATCCGATTTTTATAAATTTTATATCAATTTTTTTTATTTTTCATGATCTATCAAATAAGATGAATATTGCTTATGTAATTTTAACAAATTCTTTTGAAGTTACATTTGATAATATATCATGAAGTTACATCTTCCTCTGCGCGAGTTACATCTTATTGTACGCGAGTTACATCTTAATATACGTGAGTTACATCTTAATGTATGTGAGTTACACCATGAAATAAACCCCTGCTACATCATTCATTTTTATCATTTGAAAAATAGTGTATGAATATGAAATACAATATACTTATTTTATGTGGATTAATAAAATTTTGTATTAAATTGGCAAAGAAAAAAATTAATTCAGTTATAATTGAATTTGTTGAAGATAAAGATAAGTAAAAAATCACAAAAAATTAGATA